GGCCAGAGGCCCGCGCATCTACATTTTTTCGCCTGACCCCATCAGTGCCGACCCAACTACACCACCACGCGCATGCCTCGCGGCGGATATGCGCAGCAGCAAGAAGGTTTCGGTCATCCCTTGAGGGTGAATCTAGCCCTGCTCGCCAGAAAGACCCCCCCCTTCACTACAACCCATGTCTAAGCAAAAGCTTGTCGAGGAGCGAGGGGAAGAAGGGATAGTACGGAACAATCCCTTGTACACAGCGAGCATTACACTCGCTCGCAAAGAGATGCTTATTTTTTTCCAGAGTTTTTTCAATGCAGGTGGCAATGGTTGCATTGCTCGGCGCGAGAGGGTTGTAGGAGAGGGAGGGACGGCGTGCAACACCTCCCTCGCTGTCCGAATTCACCTTGGGCATACCGAACCGCTCCCGAGAGCATTTTCTGTAGCACTCCTCCCGTCAGCAAGCGAGAGACGACGTCGAGATTCATTCCTCTACTACTACTACTCCTCCTCCCGATGTCCTACCTTAGCTTTCATTCCCCAGCGACTGCTGCTGTGCAGCTCACTCTTGTCAAGAGTTCGATGGACCGCGGAAGTTAGCGCGGCAACAGAAAGCGGTGGTGCATGTGGTGATCTACACAGGCATCGCCCCCCCGATAACGGTACGTACCTTCATGCGATCGTCATTCATTTTTGTCTGGCGAGTTTGTTCGTGTGAAAGTGAGAATACCAGTCTACGCAACAACTTGACAAGTACACATCAGCCAATGTCCATTCCTGGAACCTAACGGTTGCAATTGGGGACAACGTTAGATTGCGAAGCTTTCTGATATCAACGTGGCGTGGACGCGGCGCGCACATGACACGAGCCGCGGCAGCAGGCTGATTGTGACGAAAACAACAAACAGCAGGCAGTAAGTGAATCAATGACTCGCCGTTTATGATAGTGGACAGGCCCGCCCGCCAAACGCACAAACTAACTGCTGTGTTCGAGTAACATTGTTTTCGGCCTCGCCATTGTTCTGCCGACTTGTTTATCCCGCGCTACCGGAGGAAGAGCACTAATGAAGAAAGAGAGGGAGCAAAGAGGAGGCCACGGAAAGGCAGGTCCGGAAAGGCCTGAACACCCTCTTTTCGCAATACAGGCCAAAACCCCCGATCCCCGAACCCCGAACCAAAACGTCACCAACACTCGTAACTCCCGCCGGCCCGCTTTTCCCTGCAATGCGCCCCCCAGTCTCGTCCCATTCGTGTCTCTTGCACACCCACCGGGCAGGGCAGGGACGGGAATGAAGGAAGGCATGCGGGAAGGCTGCACGCATGCTGATACCGACAGTAGTGACGACGGCTGTTTTGGAGATGTGAGTGTGTGTGGCGTAGGTGCTGTGCCGTAGCAACGATGTTTGACGGTTGAGGTATGCACACATTTTCTGTCCCCGTAACATGTCCGTAGTCTGCACAGCCGCCCGACAGCCCGACACAGCCTTTGGACACGCCGCTGCTCCAGCTTGCGATGCGATGCTTTGTGCCTTCGTCGGAGCGTGCGCATCCCTGTGGAAAGAGTGGTGGGCTTTTCAATCGTTGGCGTCGAAAACAAGTACCGCGGGCGCCTTCCGAGATCGAATGCCCGAAGCTTTTGCGGGTGCAGTTTCCGTCGGTAGAAAAAACGGAAACCGGTTCTGGGGTAAACCGTACCGTGGGAACCCGGCTCCGAAATGCGTTTGGAAAAAAAAAAAAACTTTACCCGACTTTTCGAACTTTTCTTGTGTGGCGGAACCCAAATGACGGCAAAGAAACATGTTTCAACCCAAACGCAGAACGAGAACGCACTCCGCTGGGTCGAAATACATACAGGGGACATCCCTTCTGTGGCCGTTTGGCACGATCCCCACCCGCAAATGCCGTTTTCATCCGCGCGGGGTCCGCGCGGCCGGTTGTACATGATTCAAGACAAAAAAAAAATCCACCGCTTCTCTCTTCATCCCGGGGACATGCAGCGCCCATGTGAACTTTCTGAGCCACGGAAACGAAGGAGGTTGGTTGTCAGTGCAAGTATACGTCGCCTCTGCTTGTGGCGAGCCCTGTCAGGCATGGCAAAGGAGCAAAACCTCTACCCCTTCAGAAACTTCAAATGAACACGTTACGGCGGGGGGCACGCAAAATGCTACCCCCTCCTCTCTTTGCGTACCCCCCCTATCCTTTGATTCATACATATATGTTGAAATCGCTGAAACTCACCCATCCCGACTGGGCCAGTCAAATCTGACAAGCGGAATCGTTTCTATGCGGGTAGAGGTGGCTATAACCATATTTTCGGAGCTTAGCTGGTTAAGGAACGCTTAAACTCAACCTCGGGCACACGATTGCGGAAGGCGCCCGCGGTACAATCACGAGCGAGCGTACTGCTGTATTTACGTGTTGTGCCCTCTCCTCTGCTGAGTGGTTTTGGTGTGTTGTTGCGGTATTGCCGTTAAGGGTGAGCTAGTGCGTGGAGGGCAGCTGACGCTGTTCACTGACGCAGCCAGTGGTGGTGACCAAAATTGTCGAAGAGCTTGTGTTATCACAGCTCCACAAAGTAATGGTAGGCTGGTGCGATCCCCTCCGTGTTGAACTCAGTAGATATCGATTACTTCGCGAACGAAGCGGAACGCCATCTTATCTACTTCATATCTACAGCAGGTATTAGCTATGGTCGCGCTTCCGTGTACACACGGGTCCAGGTTCACACATCGCACCTGTACTTCTACCCACGATTTTCCTCCAACCCTTCTACCAAGACGGTGTGGCTTCAACCTTGGGGTGTGAAAATGTGTTCTTGCCTGTGTGCTTGGCGCAGGTGGGGTTCATGTTCGATAACGCGCTCCCGAAGACGCGGCGGTCGTTCCGGTTCGGCGACATCTCCGTCGCCGTCCGGTTGGTAGATGATGACCCGGGAGCTGTGCAGGTGCGTACGTTGTGCTTGGGGTGTGGGTGTGGAGGTTTCTTGTGCTCAAGCTCGGGGGCTGGTGTGAGAATCTTCGATAGTTGTCTCCCTCCGTCGATGGTTGTCGCTCCCGCCCCCCCCTTTTTTTAGCGGCCGTTGCGAAAACACTGCCGTTAGTGATCGATCTGCAGAGAAGAGCGCATGTCAACTCTCCCTTTGTATGCATACAACAGGTCCTTTTACAACTGTACAAATGATGTATCTCTGTACAACCCGCAGTTCATTTCCTGTGCGAAACAAAGGCCGCCAGAAAGAAAAAACGCAAACCGGCATGATAGGACGAAAACTATGTAGCCAATTTTCTTTTGTCGGCGGCTGGTGCGACGGCGAAAATACGCACCGCCTTCGCGAGATTGGTAAGTTTATGAGGAAAAAGAAGTGGGAGAGGGGACGCAGACCCTATTCCCTAACCCTAACCCTAAACCAACTTCCCTGATTGTATGAGGCTCTCACCCTCCCCCCCTAAGGCATGCACAACATGAGAACGCCCTCCCTCCCTTCCACGCCTCCTCAGCACCCATCGCATGTCCCCATTAGTCGGTGGCGACCTATGCATTCGCCCGCTCTCTGATTCAAAACACGCATACGCACACCAATATTCGCACACCCAAACAGTCCGGTCACTACGTCTGGCCGGCCGCTCCGGCGCTGTCCGCCTACCTCGTAGACCGCCGCCTGGCGCTGCCCCGCGGAGGCAGGTGCCTGGAGCTGGGCGCAGGGTGCGGCCTGGCGGGGCTAGTCGCGGCGCAGCTACCGCTCACGACGGCGGTCGTGTTCACGGACCATGACCCAGGTGGGTGGTGGGTGTGGGACGGGGGAGCGAAGAGGAGGAGCAGGAGAAGGAGGAGGCGGGGATGTTTGGGAGCGGGCGGAGGTACTCGTGGTTTGTTTCAACGGGTAGCGTGGTTTTGCGCCGCTGCATGCCATCCGGTGTTACATGGCGTGTACCATCTGCTCGGTCCACAACGCGAAGGCGGAAACGTCGGGGTGGTACATGGCATGTACCAGATATGCGTTCCACAGAGCGAGGGCAGGACGTGGCGGGGCTTGGCAAAAGGCAGACAGGTAGGCAGGCCGTGCAACTTTCGCTACCGGCCTCGGAGCGACGTGGGGATGCTCTGAGCGCGTCGTTGGCGCGGGTGCGTGGGGGAGGTCTAGTTTTTTTATCATCAGTTCCCACCCTTGGATGGCGACCGACATGTTTGGTGTACATTTGTATCGGGAGCGGAAACCGACCGCAAGGGTGCGTGGGTCTCTAGTCAGGCATGTGGCGGAAAGGGGGGTTGTATCGACGCCTCTCAGTTCCCGATTTTTTTGGATTTTTTTTGCAGCTGTACCGAGCAAGGTCAGGGGCTGAGATGACGGCAGTTGGCGCACGGAAAGTTTCGCATGTGTTTCCCCCCCTCCTAAGCCCATGTGCCGCTTGCTTTCCCCGAGACTGTTCCTACTCTCGTCTGTTGTACATCTCTATCTGCTCTCCTGTCCGTCCTCCTCTAACTGCTTCCCCCTTGTGCTTCGGTTGTCACTCTTGCTTTCGCCATCATCCCCCGTCCCACCTCCTCCTCTTGAGGACGCGTGGCCAATGGTCTAACCGCTTCGGCATGCATGTTAAGAACTTGAAGAGTACGCTCCACTTCTTCCTCGCCCTCTCTTCGCCATGCTCTTCTTTGTGTCCCGTTTTCCTGCGTGCACGTTGACGCGCCCAGGCGTATTGGACATGATCAGAGAGAGCATCGAAGAGCAACAGCAACAACCGGAGTTGGGGGGGAGCGCAGCCGCAGCAAAGTCGCGTTGTGTGCAGCTCTCGTGGGGCAGTGTCGGTAAGAAGAAGAGCAGCCAAGAAGACGGCGCGTTTTGCAGTCGATGGTTGTCTAACCCCGTCTAAGGTTGTTGGGATGGTGAATACCACTCCCGTTGGACGCGCACGGAATCCATCGTATATGCCCTGAGCTCATAGAGTGGCGATGGACATGTTCTCGACCATCGTGACTGAACTTCCAGAGCTATGTAGGAGGGACGGCAAGCTCGATGCTCTCTGATCGCAAACCACGGTGCTCTTCAAATGTTCGAAGTTATGACGTGACGGGTTATATGACAAAACGCCTCCTTCGAAGCACGCTACGGCAGTTTTCGGTGGTCCCCCGATCAACCCGGCCGCCTCCACCACTACGGAACACGCCACCACAAGATATGTTCGTCATGCGCAAATTTTTTGTTAATTGATTTTTGGGTTCGATTTATCACAATGTAGAAGAACATAATCCACGAATAGCAGCAGTTTACACGCTTGTGTTGCGTGGTCGTTCGCAGTGGAGACCCACTCCGGAGTGGGACCTTGCAACAATACATCAAAAATTATCAGTACAATACTAGTTCCTACTTTGTCACACGTTCCCAGTTGGACTCCCCACCGCTGATCAATGATGGAGCTACGGTTGCGCGAATCGTGAGGTTCTTTCTGCTGTGGCGCGTTCTGTACCACCACCACCATTGCGCGGACGGTGTTTGCGTCGCCCACGCAGCCCCCCCCCCCCCCCCCCCCCCCCCCCCCCCCCCCCCCCCCCCCCCCCCCCCCCCCCCCCCCCCC